AAAATCTCAAAACAAGGCATTTTATAGATGAGAAAATTCAGGCTAAGAAAGTAAATAAATTGCTTAAGGTTATACAGCTAGTAAGTTGTGGAGCAAGAATCAAACTGCCAAATCATCATTTGCTGCTATTTTAAAAATCTACATGTAGATTATATAGATATAGTAATAACTAGTCTCTATAATGTCAATCAAGTTGAGGGGAAAGGAAACCTATTTATCTCCTTCCTCTAATTCTAAAGGTAATGCATTTTAGCATTACCTCTCTCATGATAGACAATCTTCTTTTCTCAAGACTTGAAGATTCTAGTTTCTGCTTCCTCCATTTTCTCTTCAAAGCTTTTTCTTGGAGTTCCCAGTGCACTAAAGCTCTATTCTTCGATTTATGTATTTCATGACGACGTACCTATATAGAAGGAAAAAATTTATRAAGGAATATTTTCAGTAACAAAGAGTTTGCTTATTCAGATGGTGGGACAACATAATCTTATTCAATCACTTTTAAATCCTTTCTGGTCCAACATACACATGTTTATATATATTTCACAGCAAATTTTCATAGGCCTCTAAATTTTCAAAAATGATCTTAAAAAAAAAGGAGTTCTCTATAACTAGTAGACCTAGTTAAAAAGACAGTGAAAATAATACTGATKTCTACTTCCTTTGTATAAGACTATCCATTAAACTAGTTTTTCAAATAATAGAACTCATTTAATGGCTGGTAATATCAATTAGTGTGTCAAAACTAATATTTTATACACACACTGACCCAGAACAATGTAAAACAGTGTTTTTATAGCCCTAAGGTTTCATGTGGAAGTGAGTAACAGCAAATACAGAAATCCAGGGAACTGAATTTCCTCAGGCAGAAGAAGAGATATGCAGCCACAGGTCTTAAGAATTAAAAGGGAGGAATTCTCTGAGGTGGCTAAAGAATAAAAGCAGATAACTGACRTTACAAATACTCTAGCATTCAGAACTATGAACGTAAATAAACTTCATATGTCATCTAACAAAATGTATTGTTGAGTTTTCACCATGTAAATAAGAAATCTGTCCACTAAAAGGTTAACAAGCAAATATGCAAGGATTCTGATTCACACATTCAGACATACACACACACACACACACACACACACACACACCCAAAGATAATATTTTTTGAGACAATTACAGAAATTTTAACATGTACTAAATATTTCCCCAAAATTGTTTTTACTTTTGTTGAATACAATAATGGCACTGTTGGTATGTTTTAAGTCTGTATTTTTAAAATGCAAGCTCAATATGTAGACATAAAATGACATTTTCTCTGGAGTTTGCTTTAAAATATTTCAGCGAAGGAAGAAAATGTGATAAATAAAACAACTAYAGTAAAAATTTAATAACTGATGTTTCAAAGGAGTTCTTTATATTTCTGTCTCCACTTTGACTTGAGTTTGCAATTTTTCATTAAAAAAATGTTAAGGGGGAGAGGCTGTAGCTCAG